AATATTCCAGATGATTCGTCGGCTCTTCCTGATTGCTAACTCCGCCGTAAATCCGTTTGCATACGCCTACCTTAAAAGAGACATCAAAGAGGAAATAAAAAGAAAAATAAACGTGTTATGCAGAAAACGGAAGTTGGAACTGAACGCGCAACCAGACACGGAGCCTGAGGTTCAATCCGTTAATCTAGACTAGTCTTTTTGTAAACATCTTTAACTCTTAATTATTATAATATAATGACGGACTATTGTTTGGTTGCGAAAATATGTTTTCATACAAAACAATTTTTTTTTCACAGCCACATTAAAAGTACGTATATGGCAAACAGTAAGGACAGTTGATGATTTGATGTTTATACAACAAAGATGTATAGTGTAATTAGCAATGCCTTAAAACATATGCATCTTCTATTCTTTTAATAAATTGGTGCATCCTGCTCTCTCTGAGGTTGAGTTTCTTGATATCGAAGATATCTATAACCCCCTACTATGATTCTTCCTATGAAGCGAGAAGCTCTGCTTATAAAGACTGAGTGCAATGGCTCATTCGGTTAAGAATCCAAGCAATTTCTTACCGAGTCATTTTAAACACCATAGGGGGCTGGACTCTGTATAGAAACTCCAACTGGTGCTTTATTTTGTTATATGTTTACATTTACATACTTAATTGGACCACCCCATTCGGACCTTTCAGGAACATAAATAATAAATATTATTTCTTGTTAGGTTGCACGCATTACAAAGAGTCATTAAATGTAAAAATGTTATAAACCATATGAAGAGATTAAGCTCAATCCGTATCACACGAGAGAAGCTATTTATCAGTACAGTGAAACCTGTATTAAGCGGACCTCATTAGTGTCCGCTTAATACAGGGTGTCCGCCCAAAGCAGGTTCTAATACGTTGTGCAATAATAGTTAATTATTAACCCTTTTGTAACACAGTATAACACAGTGCAAGATAAAAGACTGCTCATAGTACAATGTCCAGTCAGTCAATGCAGCAATCTGGATTAACCTCTTAGCTTTAAAACGACATCACTGAACAATGTTAAAAGAGTCTCAGCTGAACCTTTAGAAGTAAAAAGCCTTTGAAATCTCCGCTTATTGCAGGTTTTGTGCAACAATGGCTTACTATTGGTGTCCGCGTCCGCTTAACAGAGGTGTCCGCTGAATGCAGGTTTATTTTACAGTAAATGTGGGAAGAAAATTTAGGGGCTCAAGCTGGTGTTCACTTTATAAAATAGAGGGTGTCCGCTTAATATGAGGTTCGCTTAATACAGGTTTCATTGTCGATACATGATCCATTAGAACAGTGTGTATTAAAGAAAAATCAAGCGAGGAGTGGAATATTCAAAGTGCTCCACGACATAACCATTGTGTAACCATTTTATCTCATGCCTTCCATGCACAAAATGGAAAACTTACGATAAGTGTAACATGACGTCTATTGAATATACGAAAAAAGCATCTAAAGCATTTGTCGTAACCACGCCCAGTTTAACTTCCTTTGTCTTTTCTCTGGATATCCAACACATAGCATAAATGGTAGCTCAGTTCTGGCGGTGATAAATTAGAATGATTTTTTTTGAAGTATTTGTTTTGCGTGCACGCGACAAGGTGTTGCAATTCAAAGCTGTTTTCCTCGCCCTTAGCTTGGGTTTCGGTTTCCTTTTCAGCAAATCAAGCTTTCCCCGAGCTTTACACAGCGGAAAGTCCAATTCGAGTAAATGTCATGGCCCATCATATTTGTATGAAAATTTCCTCGTCAAATCTGAATTTAGCGAAATGAAAAAATACTTGGAGCGCTGCAGGCTGGAAACTAGAAAATGGTCTGTTGTAGGTTCCTAATGTGAAACAACATCTTGGTCTGCAAAATGCCTAATTTTTAAAGAACGCTCTAGATCGCAAACTGGCCATCCTTATTTTACAGATTGATCAATATAACCATCATATTTTAGAGTTGTGGCCTTAAAGTCACGGTATTTTGGGGCTTGTTACTCAGTGATTATCACGTACGGTTCATAATTGACGTTCTCTTGACAAATCACACAGAAATGATCTTCTGATACTCTTGGGTTCAAACCATTAGGTTTATTCAAAATTTCGTCTTACATGTACATCCTTGCTGTATACTAAACCCCTGGATTCTAAACCAGGGAGTTAAATAAAAGCCTAACCTTTGCCAAGATAGCTTTGGGATAGCTGCTTCGATATATCAAGCTAAAAAAGACATGGGCCTAAATAGGCTTTACAAATGTTTATAAAAACTGAGAAATCTTATAAACTTAACGGACTGCATTCTAGATAAGCAGGTTTAACAAAAACCTAATGCACCATGACCTAAACTGACACGAACAACCACCAAAGAAATAAATATTTCTTCTGAGAATGGTTAGAACACCGATGCTTGAGCGAAGTGCGGTACTTTTACGACCACGTCAAAATTGCGAGTCTAGAACCTACAGATACGACTAAGAACACTACAGACAGATCAAGTTAGCAGACAGATTAGACCGTTTGAGCACACTAAGAAGTCAGACTTTTTTGCAATGTTGCAGTCAAAACGGCAAAAGTGTTCTGCCTTAAGAAAAAGAAAACAAACAGCAAACATTACAATCGAAACTATCTACTCAGTTTTATCAAACGGGAGATACAATCCGTAGAACTTTCGAACCTTAAAAGTAATGTAATTATATTGGATTAATGAGAGCATTTGCCATTATTTAAGCGAAACTCCAGTCATTTTACTGGTAATACATGTACTGATATGTAAGCTTTGATCGAGGAATTCATCCTTTTCTATATATGTAACGCTGAGAAGGCATTTCTGCATGGTTGCTGATTTTGTTGTTCCCACAAAAAGTCTATCGATATACGCCCGGTTCAAAAGAGGATACAAATCTAATTCGCGTGCTTCTTGAAGCAAGCATACAGCTAAAA